TATTTGAATCACCACCAACAGGAGAAACAAAACGCTTTTCATTTGGTGCTTCACACTTAGAGCAAAGGATAACGAATGCACGTAAAAACGTCCTTCAGTTGAATCTACTAATTATTGTCAATGGAATACAGTTACGAATTATTGGCTGCAATTGTTAGTCCCTTTGAACTTTCGACTTAACGTTCAGTCAGTTTCTGAAAGCTTAATGATTGTATTGAATACTCCAGAATTAATGATTGATTGCCATGATACAAATATTCCGTTAGAAAGTTAAGAATTCTCAATTGATGGTTCAGACAACGGCTCGTATCAAGCAAAGCTGAATGTTATTCTCAGTATCGTTCACAATGGTTCTAGAGAAACTCTAAGTTTATTTAAGTAGATGTTCTAGAAACGTCCACTGGATCAGTGCTAAGTGGCCGTTAGTTTGAAGCAACGTTTATTTGCCTCAAATTTCCTACACACAGCTTGCCAATCGATTTTCGGCCTACAGAATAGTACAGAAAACAACCACGATGTTGGGTGCAGGCGCGGATGATAACACATCACAGGTTACACATCAAGACCTAATAGGACTTATGTGGAACATGATCAAAGATTGAAATACTTTAGTGTAGTAACCTCCAATGGAACAATATCTTCAGCTTAAATTTAAGTAATGGCGATGCTTCGGAATTTAGAAAAGATCTCGAAGGGAAATGGAGTTGACACTATGGCTACACTTCAGTTGATAAAAGTATTTTCAAAGTTGACCAGTTTTTGCTTCTATGAAAAGGGAACTCTGACTCCAGGAATGACGCTGACATTCGTAAGGACATGATATCGGCACCTTCAACGGATTGTATGCATACACCGGCAAAAGAGGCACGACGAATTCAAGAATGCATTGAAAGTCTCGGTTCTCATCGTAACACCAATAACATGCCTCATGCATGTGATAACAGATCCTTAGCCATGATGAAATATTTCTTCTCAAGCGCTACATTGAAATTCCTATGGCTGATCAGCAATGGAACACCATGATGATGATGTCGATAACGATGATCATAAGATGGGCAATCGCAATAATACGATGTATGGCATTTTGGCAATCATAATTTAAAACCACAAAATTAACTGGAGATCAGCTACAACTCGTAATCTTTCAGGAAGAATTTAGAGTTGAAGCAACCGCAATGACAGCGTAAGATGAATAAACATTAACCCTGGTTGAACATAAGCCTAAAAATCATTAACTTACGAATAATCCATCTGCTACCATGTGATATCCACGAATTAACGACTCAGGTCGGTATTTGCAGTATTCAGAATCGCTGTATAAGAGACCCAGATATCGAAGTGTAAGCTGTATTTTGTAGCCGACAGGTGCCTTGATCGTCCATTCGCACATGTGAATAGCGCTGCTCGCTTCTCCTGAACTGTTACGCACCAGAATAGTTCCCGGTTCGTTGAACTCAGCTGCTCCACAACCTGTAAAAGCAGGTATACAGGTAAAACGTTATACATTGCCTTGATGGATGCGTATGCACTCCAAAGCAGCGTGCTCACCCAGAAGGCAGTGAACTCATGCATAGCATGCATTTCTGACGATGATGACATATAGGTAAAACTGTGGATAAACTTATTAGGTCAACTTTTCCATATCTTGACAATCTAAGCTCCGCAAACTGCACTAATGATTTTCCCATATTTTAACACAGAAAATTAAACAAGAGCCGTATCTTCCTTTACTGTAGCTCATGAGTCGTCGCAGTCTAGTCAGAGAGCTGTCGATGAGAAGATTTGCCATGTCGACATCTGGGATTAATGTGGACGATAGCGGTTGATAACAGTAGTACCATTCTCGTAGCTCATAGGTAGAACTGTAAGGCATTAGCAGCTCAGTCAGCCCTGATCATCAGAATCCCTTACAAATCGACAGTTTCGTGATTACCAACAAACTCTCACGCTATCCGTTGCGGCTCGAATGTATACACTCTGCCGGATCCCACTGATAGTCCATTCACGTACTGTGATCGTTGTTCCCCCTCCGCGAAGCTTAGCCCAAAGTATGGTTACGGAGAGAAGTGTACTAGTGAAAGCTTCATGCTGCTTAAATTTGTACCTTCACTGAAAGCATGCATCAGAAATTTTATACTATATATTATATATTAAACAATATGGACACAAACATTTAAGGACATTATTAGTACCTGAAGAAAACACAGCGCAATGTTTCACTCTGACGGTTACTATCTGTAAGATTGAAGAAGACAGTTCTTACTCACATCATGATGATTTAAATGAGCTGAATTAACGACGTCAGAAAATGGAAATAAAATTAAGATCTTTAGCATCTTCTTTGAGACTCTGGAGGTCAAGACTGGAAAAATGCAGCTTAATGACACAATTAAAAAAGTGAACAGAATATTATGTGTACCGTTACGGAGCATAAATTTTATGGCAAGAAACTTGATAACCATCCACCATTTGTAGCCAAAAGGAAAACCATGAAATAGGTAAACACAGAGGAGTTATGATAAACAATCATCCAGATCACTTTGGCTCTGTTGCTCACATCATCTCATCATCATCTTCCATCGACGCTTCTCCTTTCGGGTCGCGGAGGCAGACGCGTCAGACAGTGCTTCCAACGTTCCCCATCCTGTGTCAGAGTCTGAGCCTCGGCAAAAGACAAATGGAGTCTGGAACACATTCCTTCCATATGTTTGCACCAGGTTAATCTTGGCCGTCCCCCGGGGCCTTTTGCCGGTCAGATTTGCAAGGAACCTGTTGCTCACACTTAGGATATAATCAAGATCTAGTATAAGAAAATTTTCAGTGGTTGATTACAAAAATGATAAAGCGATATTAGAGGTCAAAAAATCATTCTACGTCTCACTTAACAACAATAATCTGTGCAACGGCTGCATAGCTTGTTCCTACACCGCTGCAGCTTTCGGTTTACTGTATCTGCTTGATGTAGCTGCGCTACTCTTGATATATACAGTGATATCCGTTGCTGATTTTTCTGTCTCGAAGAAAGTAGCTGTCGTGTAGCCGACACAATGACGACCGCGTAATAAAGGTTTCATAACATAGGTCATTGTCGTACGCTTAAGCCATTGAATCGGAAACTTAAAACAAATTACGAATTCATGGTATAGAAGCAGAATGAGACCTTCGAAATCAAATCACTTGTCCTCCTAATCCCTTGGGTGCTACTTCAATACCATTTTGCCAAAAGTAATTCCTATCTTCGAGTTTTTTATTGCATGAAAAAATCTGATAAAAATGATGATTTATTTCATAGTTTCTTTCAATTCAACCACCAACTTTACGTACTGCAACGATACTCCATGGGAATGAAGGGATTTCAAACATACTGTAAAGTGAGCATCATAGTGAAATGACAGAAAACGTCAATCTCTCTAAGGTAGATTGAACTTGATAGGTTGCTGATTCTGCCATGAGAAATTCATCACGTTTAGTTTATTTTTTTAATTTCCTTGTGCTTTTGGAATTATCAAATTTAGTACCATGCACTCATTAACATGCGCATATTCCATAAATGCTACCTTTCACTGTCCATTCGAGCTCAAAGTGAGAGGAATGCTCATAATCAGCTGAGAATTCGATGTTTAAAACATTTGAGTTGGTATAGACGGTGAGCGGCTTTATCGAATTATTGCAGAACTGGAACGACACCCCTGTCAGATTTCGATTTTCGTCGGAAACCACTCTGCTAGTCTTGTTGAACTACAATGTGACAGCAGTTGATGAAAGAATGAACCAATGACACAAGGGTGGCCATATATACTCACCTTGAGGTAGTTTTCGGAACATGTCTGAGGAATAAACACGCGATAGGTGGCGTTGTTAATATCATAATAGGTTATATGAGCTGCAAGCGTATTTCCGGGCAAGGTTTTGATCTGCCAGTTGCAGTGACGTCCAATTGACACTGGTGAGCTGAAACCCGGACTTGTCAGGCGACCATGGGGTGCCATCAACAATCGGTCCTTGCAAACTTAAAGAAACAACAATCATTCTGATAATACGACAACAAACAGTTGCTTGCCGGTATTGTATTGAGCAAAAAATCCGTATGAGTACGTCCACATATGAACGTACCTGACCATCATTTGGTTGCCAGATGAATAATATACCGATGGCGTCAACTGCTGGTGACATAATAACGCAATTAACGAAGATGTACGGAATGGGCCGTCGCGAATCTAAAATTTGCCCACGGTTAATACGACAGTCCAAAATGACCTGTAACAACAACTGAATGAATATTTTGCGTAGTTAACGGCGATCATCACTGTCAAGCCCCAATGCCCACGTTCGTTTGTCTTGTGCGATTTGATATTCATTTTGAGCAATGTCTTCCAAATGGGTGCCTGCAGCCCTTGAGTGTCAATTCGTTACTGTTGAACTGCTGACATCAGTCGGTCACCCGCCAGTCGTGCAATGTAGCCCTTCGTAGTCTGACCTGAGTTGCACGCAGGGGACAGGAGGCCATTTTTGATTCTGCCTTCCATTTCAGTCGGTCTTGGCAAATGTCTTTGGCTGCTGTTCATGCTAGACAAGCGTAAAAAAACCTACGGTTTCTCCATCATTCCTGCTAAGCGTTGGAAGGTCTTGTTCGAGCAGAGTTTTCTTTAAGGTACAATTCACTTCTATATCGTTTTCTCCTCTGCAGTACCTCATCGCAAGGTGGAA